TACGGATTTAACCCCCCTCTTCCTTTAATCTGTGGCTGATCGCGTGTTAATTTCTGATGCGAGATGTTACAGATGTCCAATAAGTGTAGGAATTCTATTGGATCTCTTTGGCCCTTGTACACCAGATGTTCAAATTCGTTCCGAACATAGTACGATAATCTGATGGATTTAAATTTTGAAATTTTCTTTTTCTGCCTCCAGTTCTGAAAAATTCGAGCGTAACTTCATCAGACATTATAATGGAGAGTACAAGAATAGCCATTTTAATATTGAAAATAGAACTACAATTTCTGTGTAACCAAACGAACGAACGAAACAGATTTCTTACACATATATTTAAGTATATACTACGCGCCATAGCTCAAGCGGTTAGTCGCTGGCTTCCCACCTCGGCGGCCCGTGTTCGATCCCGGGTATGGTCAAGTGAGATTTGTGGTGGACAAAGTGGCGCTGGGGCTGGTTTTCTCCAAGTACTTCGGTTTCCCCTGCCAATCTTCATTCCACCAATTGCTCCACAATCACCCTCACCTATCATCTGGGGCTGGTACAATGGGCCGCAGTACAAGCGACTTAGTCCCACCCCACCTGCATTACATTAAAAATATGTTCTACACAGCTTGTTTCGGCTTCATTTAAATACTCCTTGTTATTAACTTTTATCGTTGTTCTCGGGACGTCTTATTTTGCGCCACCGAGCATACTGGAAGCCTTGTGTTTTTGTTACTTTTTAGCATCCGAATATATGGGCCTTCCATAGAATGTTTTCCCCATTTATATTGTAACGTGGATGGACACGGCGTTGCTAGATAACTGACCGTTAAACACCTCCCAACCGAATATATGCAAGGCAAAAATGGGCGTGCGGCGCCCCCCAATAGCAAGACCTAAACTGTCAAACAGTAATAAATATCTGGTCACGAGCCCCAGACTGGCCTCGACAGCAAGATTGACTGACTGACTGACCGTCAGTCGCATTGTGACTTTGACTCTGACTAACCAAGTAATATGTTGACAGTTGACAGTGGACAGGAAGAGATCAGTGGACGAGTTCGGCGAGTTGAGGAGAGAGTTTGATTCGTGCATTCGAGAGAGATTCAATAGTGATTAGTGAGCAGCAAGTGGAGTGAGGAGTGATTTCAGAGTGATCTGTTGAGTGTACTACAAAATTGGTTTTGAATTGAAACCGTAGAAATGAAATTGTCCTCCAGATAACTCAACTACACCATGTCTTGACTGGAATTAGTTAATTGAACGATACGTGCGTTGGACAGAGTGGTTTATACGGACTCCACGCTACGTAGTGTCAACTCCCGTTTGGCGAAAGTGATTTTTATGTGAAGTTTGCCGCCAAGCCGTGGCTGTGCGCAGTGTTCTGCGAAGCAACAAAGAAACGGTAAATCTGAGTGTACATCAATATGGCGGAAGTTCCAGAACCGGGAATCCGGAAGCACTGGAGACTGGAGCTATCAATGCTGAAATCTGAATGTCATGCCATAACAAACAAGAATACAGAAGCAGCTCTGCAGTACAACAGGTACAAAAAGTAGTCAGTGACAGTGAAAACTTTACCAAATGCACTCCGGATAGAGTGGGGGAAAGATCTCAGTGGGCATCTGTTGTAAATAGTGCGGAGGAGGGCAGAGCAAAATTTTGCAAGCTTTTAAATGGGAATCCGTTTTCAGCGCTCTCTACGACATGTACACGGTAACACTGAAAGAACTGCAGGACGTCCTTTAGGTGAATGCACAGGCAGGACAAAATGGAGCAATGAACAAAACCTCATTGCAATTAACGGCCCAGAATGACGACTTCCAGGAAGTAAAGAGACGCAAGAGGCATATCTCTAATGATACCTCAGAGACGACCAAATCAGTCCCAATATCCACAACTGCCAAGGAGACTCCAAAAGCAGTGCCAACTCTCAACTTCTTCGCACCCCTCAGAGCTAATAACATGGACACGGAGACAACTGGAGCAGAGAACAGGGAGCAGGAGGCTCCCAGAAAATCAGGTAGGCCGCCACCAATGGTGATGACTTTACCATAAATCTGCCATAAACCTAATTCGACTCCAAGGCGACCTAAAAGAACATGGAAAAGGAGAGTACAAATTCCGAAACACACGAAATGGAACTCGTATTATAAAAACAGAAATGGCGGACTACTCAGCCATGCAATCCTACCTGGAGAAAAATAATCTCCAGTACTTCACCTTCTCTCCAAATTCTGAAAAGCCTATCAAGGCAGTAATCCACTACCTTCCCCCAGACACGCTCAGAGTCATAGCATTTAATGCAAATGGCATTTGGAGGCAGCGCTATGGACTCAGTAAACAGCTGCAAGACTTACATACAGATGTGGCTCTTCTCTCAGAGACACATGTCAACCCCCATGAGAGATTCTTTATTCCAAATTATCACTTTTATCGTACTGACCGCTTCCCAGGGAAAAAAGGCAGAACTGCCGTTGCAGTGAGAAAGGGCATTTCCCACAAACGTGTAGACCTGCCTCCGCTTTTTTTCAATAGAGGCCACTGGGGTTGGCATACCGATTGGTAATAGCGAAGTGCTACTTGCAGCAGTCTGTAAGTCCCCAGGCCACACCTGGAATGATGCAGACATCACTAAGCTCTTAAGCTTTAGACTTAAGTCGATACTGGCAGGAGATCTGAATACTAAACATCCATTTTGGAATAGTGTCGTTTCCAAACTTTCAGACGTGAAACTGCTGAATTTACTACACGTACATACAAGGTGTGGCAATAAAGAAACCGGATTACTTTTATGACTCATTTCCGGCCACGTCATTGACGAAGAGGAGGGTAGGGCATTGACCCTTGGACTTCCCTCTACCGTCATACAAAGTTTCATTCACGTGCATCGGTTAGTCTGGCCGCGACCATTGTTAGAAGCGGATCGTGTTTCTGAGCTCCGTCGGAATAATGCTGAGTGCTAATGCAGAACAACGTGCTAACATCAAATTCCTCACAAAACTTGGAAAATCTGCCACTGAAACTTACAATTTGTTGACAGAAGTATATGGTGATCAGTGTCTATCTCGCACGCAAGTTTTCGAGTGGTTTA